GAGGGTGAGGGGGAGGGATGAGAGGGGGGGGAAGGGGATGAGAGGGGGGTTGGGGGGGGGGAAAGAGGGGGAAGGGGGCGGGGGCGGATAGGAAAGGTTTTGGGTGAAGGATACCGCATGAAATATGTGTTTGTGTGTATAGACCGTCCCCCTAGGCCACTGGCCCCCCGGCTCCAAAACCCCAAAACCGTCGTCGTCTTGCTCCATAGGCACCGTCGTGTTCGAGGAGGGAGACAAAGTGGACTTCACGTACGTCATACTCAAGGTCTGTACTGCCGTACTGCCGTACGCATTTTTGCCATCTGAGGAGTTCCTTTGGTATGCGTTTTAAAAAAGCCTCTTACTATCTATTAATTTTATACCGCTTCCAGCAATCTCCCCTGTAATATAATCAGCATTTGGAATTCGGATTCCGTGGTCCAAACCCCGGGCCTACCATGTCTCTATGTATCTACCTTTCACCATATCTGTGTGGATTTATTGGATTTGCCTTGCAGGGTGAGGTGGTCCTCAGTCGATACAACGACTCGCGCAACATCTCAGAGGATTTCGTCGTTAAGACTACCGGGCAGCAGTTCGGCACCACATCCACGCTGCAAGCGAGTTCCGACAGCGGCGGCGGCGGCGGCGGGGGGTTGGTTTCGGCCTCAAACTCCTCCGACAAGAAACGGAATTTCTCGGCGCGGTGCACACAGGTACAGAGAGCTCTTTTCATCTCCTTCTTAATCTGCCATAAAACGCTAAATGTTTGCAAAAAGTATGGCATGAAGTGTGTAGAAAGTACTTTGTGAAAGACCCAATGCTGACTGCTCCCAATGACCCATGGGTCGCTAACATCACCACTGGCCCTGGACGCCCCGCCACACTGACCCACGGGTCGCAGTTGACGGAGTTTGCCATAGTGACCAAGGTTGGCTACGCTCGGCTCATCCGAAACCAGCTCCAAAAGTCTCTCGACACCCGGTTGAAGCTGTTGCAGGTACGTGTAGTTTTGGCAGCTGCGGTAGTGGTAATGGTGGTGGTGGTAATGGTGGTGGTGGTAATGGTGGTGGTGGTAATGGTGGTGGTGGTAAGGGTGGTGGTGGTAATGGTGGTGGTCATGTGTACATTATAGTGTGTCCACTTCAGACGCGCGTCCAGACTCCTCTGGGGGGTTGACCCGGCCTTGGAGCCCCCCGGGGTGTTCCTTTTGCTGCTGTACTGCTGCTGCACTGCTGCGGGACCTTGTGACCTTGTCCAGATCTCGTCCCTCCCCCGTACAATCCCAACGCCCCGACCACCTACATGCCGCCTCGCCGTACATTTACCGCACACCCGTACAAACCGTACAGGGAATGGCCATCATGTCCAACACCACCACACAGACCACCCTCACTCGCATCGCCATCAATTGTCAGGTGCGTGCGTGCTGCCGGTGACGTGCGCGTGTGTGTATTAGGGGCGTGGTGTGTATTAGGGCACTAGAGGCGTGGCTGGGGTAGTAGTGGTAAGGGGTGGGGATAGTAAAAGGGGGTTTGTACGGGCAGTGAGGTGTCGGGCAGTGAGGTGCGGGGGCTTAAGACCCCCCTCGGAAGACTCGGGGTGGAGCTCTAAACCCTTAGATTCCCCCCTTCCTCCCCCCTTCCTCCCCCCTTCCTCCCCCCTTTCTTCACCCTTCCTCCCCCCTTTCTTCACCCTTCCTCCCCCCTTTCTTCACCCTTCCTCCCCCCTTCCTCCCCCCTTTCTTAACCCTTTCGCCTGTACTGCTGTCCCTCCCCTTCCGCTTGCTTCTCCTTCGCCTCCCTACCCCTACCCTACCCTGCCTCCTCCCCCCATTCTCTTTCGCTTCCTCACCCCCCTTTCACCCCCAAACCCCACCCCCCGATGTAGGACGAGACCTTCAGCGCGGGGAGTACTTTGGTGGACCCCGCCAGCCCCCCCACCCGCCTCTTCTTCATCGTGGAGGGTCAGGCCAAGCTTTTGTGGGTGGCAGACGCCCTAGGACAGGTAAGGAAAAGGCTGGGGAAGCGTGTACGTGTCACTGTGTATGTGTGCCTGTACGTGTCTGTGTATGTGCGAAACACACACCCCTTCCTGCGCCGTGCCGTGTTTTCCCCCCCCCCTTCACCGCTTTTTTGGCCTAATCTTGGAGTATCCGTATGGTATTAGTATGGTAATTTCCTTTCGTCAATCCCCCCTTTCCTTTTCAGATGCCCCCCTCGGATCGGACGATAGACGGAAATGGTGGCGGCGGCGGCGGGGGAAGCATCTCAATGTCGGGTAGCGTCAGTGCGAACACGGCTAATACAGACGCCTGCGCCATGTTTGCGCTGATGCGTAAAGGTTCAAAGGATAGGAGCATCAGGCGGCGGCGGCAGCATCCGTACGTGTACGAGGTACGGCGCAGTCGTTGTGTAGTTGGTGGTTGGCAGTTGGTTGGCTTAGTGTATGGTGGTTAGAGTCGTTGATTAATATCGCCTGTCATACTGGCTCCGCAAAGCGGCTCGAGGAAGTTGTGTAGTGGTGTATTGACTTTCAGCCGTTCTGTTGTGGCTGCTGCATTGCTTTGTTAAAGGATGTGTTTTTAAATCGCCCCGCCCCCCGCCCCGCCCCGCCCCGCCCCAAGGATGTGTTTTTAAATCGCCCCGGGGCGTCCTCAAAACACGAGGGCGCCGCAAGGGGAACAAGCCCAGGGGGCTTGTTCTGTGTTTATGTCGGTGTTTTCAACCATTTTCAAACATCCACCTGATAACACCACCACACTAGATACCCCCCCTTTCCTTTTTTATGCTCATATGCCCGTACGACCACGTGCTCACAAACTGAAAAGGTCAACTGAAAAGGTCAAAGCAACTGAAAGACCTTCCATACTGGCCTGGACGGTGCTGCTTTGCGCACTTTATAAAGAAGCTGCTCCTCTCGCTATGCAGGTGTTTTGACCGACCTCGTCAATGCTCCCCTGACACCTTCAGTGCCTTAGGTCTATATTACCCCTTCCCCCCCCCCACACACGTACACAATGTGTACTACACATACACACATACTCCCCCCTGGCTTAACCCCTCCCCCCTCCCCAGGTGGCCCTGCTCACCAGAGGGGATGTGGTCAACGGAATGGCCCTTCATGGCAAAACCAGCTGCTTTACGGTGGTTGCAGCAACAAACCTCAAGGTACGGCAAGAACAGTACAGCTGCCGTACAGCTACCTTTCTGTAGAGAGTTCTCCTCGCAGGGGGACTCTTTTAGCGATGGAGCGTTCCGTGTTTTGTTTTGGGGGGGGACGTGGCGAATGGAGGGGGAGGGGGGAATTTATGTGGCAGGGGGCCTGGGGGGAGTATTTGACACACACACACACAGAAAGTGGGGTTTTCACACGTACGGCATGGCCAAGCTAGAAAACGGGGGCAAAGAGGAATCCTGTTGCTGCAGACCCCCCACATACACCCAAATACACAGCGCCGACAGCGCCGCTCATCAGTACGACATATCATGATAGTAATCATCAGATCCCAACAGCAACACAAACCCACACGCGCCGCAAACACATCTCACGATGCGCCGGCGGTGGAAGGTGTGGACTAGAAAGCTTTTGTCCTCTAGGGAGTCCGCCCCCCAAACCCCCTTCACCCCAAAGGCATTTCCAGGTTTGTCATACTCCAAACACACAGGATGTAATCATATGTATATGTATATGCGTATGCCGTACCTGCCGCTCCTCCCCGTTCAGGTAATGTCGTTGGAGGTTGCCGGCGGGTTGGTTGCCCTGGAGCAGTTATTCGGTCGGGAGCAGGCGACTATGCTGAGGGAGCTGGTGCTGCTGCAGGTAGGGGGGGAGGGGGGAAGGGGGGGGAGGGGGGAAGGGGAAGGGTGGGTTTGGGTAGCCCTCGGGGCTGCCAGGGGGCTGCGGGTTTTGCGCAGTACGCAGGGGGGGATCTTTGTGATACAGGGGGATGCGAGATGTGTAAGTGTGTTTGTGAGTATCGGGGGGTTGTGGGGCAAGCGATTTGGATGAGAAGTGCCAAGGTTGATATTTGGTGTTTTTATGTGCTAGTGCCAGTGCTAGAGCTAGAGCTAGAGCTAGGTGGTTTTGTCAATAGATGCGTTCGCTTTTGAAGTAAGAGTGCGTGCGCCACCTTTGTGGTGAAGTGCAATTTCTCGTATATTGCTCAAGCTGCCGTTTTTTAGACGAAAAGAATAGGCGAGCGGATACATAAGAAAGAAAGTAAAAAACCCTGAGCCGCGGCAAGCCCACAGCGAGAAGGGCTGCTAGAAAGGGGGCCTAACGGATTGTTATGAGCAGATGGAACTGTTGCGAGAGACGGATTCTCGCATTTTTGCGCCCAGGGTTGGAGGCAACTGAAAATCCTGCGTGGTCTGGGAACCCACTAGCTTCCCGCGCACTCGCCAGTCCATATTACCCACCTTATCACCAGTTGTCTTGTACAATGCTTCGGCTTACTAACTCAGTCTTGAAAAAGCTGGATTCTGCTTTGATAGCAGGGTTTCCATGGGGCTACTGGTGGTTGGGGATGTCCAGTTAGTTTTGCTAGGAAGGTAACGAAATGTGTAACTCCATCTTACAAAATGGATTGGGAATAACATAGCTTACGTTGCGTTGTTGTGTGGACTTGTCCAGAAGCCGTCCGTTCGTGCAGGGTCCCTCCGTTGCTCCCGCCAACTAACAGTGGTCGATGGGTGCTTCGAACACAGACTAACACCTGCAAAACTATGTTGAGAATTATGTGCATGTTGAAGCTGCAGTAGAAGAAGTAGATAGAGAAATCGCCTGTCGATTGGTTTCTTACTGCTTTCGTTTTAAGACGCTGGTTTATAGGTTCACATGGCATTTAATAGTAGTTAAGGTGCATCTATTTGAGGCTTGTTATCCCGCAACTAGAGAATTAGCTTAACGCATAACCTGGCGACAGAGGCTTCTGCAGAGACGCATCCACGTGTAAAACGCTTTGCTTAGCATTCAGGTAGGTGCTGGATTAGTATGCAGCACATGAGCAGCGTAGGAAATATGTTTACTTGGTGGCATTCGTGGCGGTCATGTCATTCTTAGGTGCCTACACCGTTGTCGCCAATGCGGGTTTTGGCAGCCGTGCACATCAACTGTAATAAAGTTCGGGATGGTTTTAGCCTTTGGTGCCTTTACATAACGCCTGTGCGGTCATCAGCGCTGAAGTACATGGTGGCGCCTACCTCCAAGTTCAGTGCCGCCACCGAAAAGAATCACAGCTTGTCAAGTTTGTGCTCATGACGGCCGCAATATTTTGGATGGCACCCTTTCTAGCCAAGATAGCTGTTAAGTGCCTACCTCGAAACATGGTTCGATGCTTATCGGGACCCTAAGTTGTCAGGAAAAAATTGACGTTCAAATGCTTAAATTGAACAGCGGAAGCAACGGTTTCTAATCATATGTTTAATTTTCCTCGATGCGGCGTATTTGCTGCGTTTCATCGAATGTTTGGCGTGCACTTTCCACTGCGCCTCCCCTCTTGGCAAGGAGAGGCATTTGGACGCTAGCCTTTGAGGTTCTTCGTATGCATAATTCTTTCTGCGGTAGTATTTGTGAAGCCCTTATCTTGCCTTCGTGTTATGCGGGAGGATATACGCCGGCCGGCGTGGGGCGGAGCCCGTCAGCCTGAAAACCCTCTGTTCCGCCTTGCGGTATTTTACCCTATTTTCCTGCCAACATACGAGTACTCCGCACTGCCCTCTTCCACTTCGTTTCGTTTCCCCTGAAGGAATTCCAATACTTCACCATCTAGTTCCCCGACAGACAGACAGACAGACAGACAGATACGTACACATCGTCATTTCCCTCATCACGACTCCTATTAAAATACACACGTACACATTAATAGTACGACATACGTTTACGCCGCCGCCCCTGTCGAGCAGGCTGAAGTTCACCGAGAGCGAGCTGCTCACATGGTCGCGGTACGGCAGGTACGGCAAATACAGGGCAGCAGGGGCAATGCCTGACGGTTCTGTATCCCTCTTTTTCTTCGTTGCCTTAATACCCACTCAGGCTTGGCTTTTCCCCCTCCCCCCTCCTCCCTCCCCCCTCCCTTCCCCCCTGCCAACTTGTAAAACTACAGGAAAAGGCATCGCTAAACCAACCATTCTAGTTAAAACTCGTCAATTTAAAACTAAAGTAATCGACATTTACGATAAAGAGAAGGGCTGTGCGGCGTTGTACATAACACTGCACAGCCCCCGCTCCAGTACCCTTTCCCACTACCCCCTACCCCTTCCCCCCTACCCCCTGCCC